CTGGAGACACACGAATAGCTGCTAGCAGACGAACAGGAAAAGTCCCCAAGCGGCTTACACTCCTGGCAATCAGTCGCTAACAGCATACAGTAAATCCTCCCCCAAAGACGAGACATCACTTCGTTTTGAGGGTCAAGCAGAATCTGGTTTACTGGGGCTAACTGCCCGGCTTTTATGCAGGTCTCCCACCTGGTGGACACTCCCCTAGGGGACCAAATGGGAGACTGGGACACAAAGGGTAAAAGGACCAATCACAGATTTACACATTTCAACCATCCCACAATGCATCACAATCCCTCCTCTCTGTCCTGGAGATAATTGGGAAGTAATCCAATTATCTCCAAGGACAGAGGCAAAACTCCATTAACCACATGGCAGTAAAAAGACAGTAAAAGAAATAAAAATACATACTGTTACATTCATCGCATAGACCACACACATTCTACCTATCCCCAGATAGCTTTGATCTGAGCGCACATTATTACCGGATGGAGCCAAAGTCTTTCTGTATACGAATGGGCTCCATGGCTTAGCTATCTGGGGAAAGACTGCTCACATAGGGAAAATAAAAGGTTTTTAATGCAGGGCCACAGTCCAGCGGCAAGAGGTGGGCAACCAGGCTGCTCCAGTGGCGAGGTTGGTTCTGCCACACAGAGTAATGCAGGGAGCCACCTACAGGATGTACAGAGTAATGCAGGTGGGTTTCTACCCCACAGGATGTAATAGAGTAATGCAGGAGCCACCTGGGCGATGGCCAGAGTAATGCGGTGGAGCCGCCTAAGCAGGATGGCCGCACGCAGGGCGCCACCTTCAGGATGTACAGAAAGCAATGTGTGAGCCACCTGCTGGTGGGATGTGCAAGGCAGAGTAATGCAGGGAGCCACCACAGGATGTGCTGGAATGTAATGCAGGGCTTCACCCGCCAGGATACACAGAGTAATGCAGGAGCCACCTGCCAGGATGCACACAGAGTAAAATTTTATGGGCCACCCACAGGATGAGAGTACAGGCCACCTACAGGATGCACAGAGTAATGCAGGGCGCCACCTACAGGATGCGCAGAGTAATGCAGGGCACCACCTACAGGATGCACAGAGTAATGCAGGGAGCCACCTACAGGATGCACAGAGTAATGCAGGGCGCCACCTACAGGATGCACAGAGTAATGCAGGGCGCCACCTACAGGATGCGCAGAGTGTAACGGGCCGTTTTGCACACAAGAGGTTAAAAACCGTTAAGGCAATATTCCCCTTTTTCCGATGCACAGACAGCTACTGCAAGCACCAATCTCCCGAACTGCAACCAAGGGAATACTCGAAACTCCCGAACTGCATACCAAGTAGCACTCCAAACTCCCGAACTGGAGACACACGAATAGCTGCTAGCAGACGAACAGGAAAAGTCCCCAAGCAGCTTACACTCCTGGCAATCAGTCTCTAACAGCATACAGTAAATCCTCCCCCAATAATGAGACGACACTTCACTTTGAGGGTTAAGCAGGAACTGATTTACTGGGGCTAACTGCCCCGCTTTTATGCAGGTCTCCCACCTGGTGGACACTCCCCTAGGGGACCAAATGGGAGACTGGGACACAAAGGGTAAAAGGACCAATCACAGACTTACACATTTCAACCATCCCACAATGCATCACAATCCCTCCTCTCTGTCCTGGAGATAATTGGGAAGTAATCCAATTATCTCCAAGGACAGAGGCAAAACTCCATTAACCACATGGCAGTAAAAAGACAGTAAAAGACATAAAAATACATACTGTTACATTCATCGCATAGACCACACACATTCTACCTATCCCCAGATAGCTTTGATCTGAGAGCACATTATTACCGGATGGAGCCAAAGTCTTTCTGTATACGAATGGGCTCCATGGCTTAGCTATCTGGGGTAAGACTGCTCACATAGGGAAAATAAAAGGTTTTTAATGCAGGGCCACAGTCCAGCGGCAAGAGGTGGGCAACCAGGCTGCTCCAGTGGCGAGGTTGGTTCTGCCACACAGAGTAATGCAGGGAGCCACCTACAGGATGTACAGAGTAATGCAGGGCGCCACCTACAGGATGCACAGAGTAATGCAGGGAGCCACCTACAGGATGCACAGAGTAATGCAGGGAGCCGCCTACAGGATGCACAGCGTAATGCAGGGCGCCACCTACAGGATGTACAGAGTAATGCAGGGAGCCACCTACAGGATGTACAGAGTAATGCAGGGAGCCGCCTACAGGATGCACAGCGTAATGCAGGGCGCCACCTACAGGATACACAGAGTAATGCAGGGAGCCACCTACAGGATGCACAGAGTAATGCAGGGAGCCACCTACAGGATGTACAGAGTAATGCAGGGAGCCGCCTACAGGATGCACAGAGTAATGCAGGGAGCCACCTACAGGATGCACAGAGTAATGCAGGGAGCCACCTACAGGATGTACAGAGTAATGCAGGGAGCCGCCTACAGGATGCACAGCGTAATGCAGGGCGCCACCTACAGGATACACAGAGTAATGCAGGGAGCCACCTACAGGATGCACAGAGTAATGCAGGGAGCCGCCTACAGGATGCACAGCGTAATGCAGGGCACCACCTACAGGATGTACAGAGTAATGCAGGGAGCAGCCAATGGGGCTGAGCTGAAGCATCAGCACCACAGACCGAGCTCTCACACTGGGCATCAACATGGGCATCATTGTGAGTACTGGGCATCAACATTGGCATCAACATGGTCATCAACCTGGGAATCAACATGGGCAATGGGCATCAACATGGGCACCAACCTGGGTACTGGGCATCAATGTGGGCATCAACATGGGCATCAACATGGGCACTGGACATCAACATGGGAATCAACATGAGCATCACCATGGGTACTGGGCATCAACACGGGTACTGGACATCAACATGGGTACTGGGCATCAGCACCACAGACCGAGCTCTCACACTGGGCATCAACATGGGTACTGCCAGTCAGTCTGGGTACTGGGCATCAGCACCACAGACCAAGCTCTCACACTGGGGATCAGCCTGGGCACCAACATGGTTACTGCCAATCAGTCTGGGTACTGGGCATCAACCTCAGTACTGGGCATCAGCCTGGGTACTGGTAATCAGCACCACAGACTGAGCTCTCACACTGGGGATCAACCTGGGCATCAACATGGGTACTGGGCATCATCCTGGGCATCAACCTAGGTACTGGGGATCAGCACCAAGGACCGAGCTCTCATCTGGGCATCAACCAGAGCATCAACATGGGTACTGGGGATCAGCCTGGGCATCAACCTGGGTACTAGGCATCAGCACCACAAATGTAGCTCTCACACTGGGGATCAGCCTGGTTACTGGGCATCAACCTGGACACTGGGTATCAGCACCACAGACCGAGCTCTCTCACTGGGGATCAACCTGGGTACTGGGCATCAACCTGGACACTGGGTATCAGCACCACAGACCAAGCTCTCACACTGGGGATCAACCTGGGCATCACACTGGGCATCAACCTGGGTACTGGGCATCAACCTGGACACTGGGTATCAGCACCACAGACTGAGCTCTCACACTGGGGATCAACTTGGGTACTGGGCATCAACCTGGGTACTTGGCATCAATCTGGGTACTGGGCATCAGCCTGGTCACTGGGCATCAGCCTGAGCTCTCATACTCGGGATCAGCCTGAGCATCAACCTGGGTACTGGGCATCAGCCTGAGTACTGGGTATCCACCTGGGCTATCACACTGGAGATCAACCTGGGCATCAACCTGGGTACTGGGCATCAGACTGGTCACTGGGCATCAGCACCACAGACCAAGCTCTCACACTGGGGATCAGCCTGGGTACTGGGCATCAACCTGGACACTGGGTATCAGCACCACAAACTGAGCTCTCACACTGGGGATCAACCTGTGCATCAACCTGGGTACTGGGCATCAACCTGGACACTGGGTATCAGCACCACAGACCGAGCTCTCACACTGGGGTCAACCTGGGTACTGGGCATCAACCTGGACACTGGGTATCAGCACCACAGACAAAGCTCTCACACTGGGGATCAACCTGGGCATCAACCTGGGTACTGGGTATCAGCACCACAAACTGAGCTCTCACACTGGGGATCAACCTGTGCATCAACCTGGGTACTGGGCATCAACCTGGACACTGGGTATCAGCACCACAGACCGAGCTCTCACACTGGGGTTCAGCCTGGGTACTGGGCATCAACCTGGACACTGGGTATCAGCACCACAGACCGAGCTCTCACACTGGGGTCAACCTGGGTACTGGGCATCAACCTGGACACTGGGTATCAGCACCACAGACAAAGCTCTCACACTGGGGATCAGCCTGGGTACTGGGCATCAACCTGGACACTGGGTATCAGCACCACAGACAAAGCTCTCACACTGGGGATCAACCTGGGCATCAACCTGGGTACTGACACTGGGTATCAACCTGGGCTCTGGTTACTGGGTACTGGGTATAAACCTGGGCATCAACCTGGGTACTGACACTGGGGATCAACCAGAGCATCAACCTGGGTACTGGGTATCAGCCTGTGTACTGGGGATCAACCTGGGCTCTCACAAGGGGGTTCAACCTGGGCTCTGGTTACTGGGTAATGCCAGTGGGGATTAGCCTGGTCACTGGGCATCAGCCTGGGCTCTGGTTACTGGGTACTACCAGTGGGGATCAACATGGGCACTGCCAGTCAGTCTGGGTACTGGGTATCAACCAGGGCACTGGGTATCAGCCTGGGCTCTCACACCGGGGATCAACCTGGGCTCTGGTTACTGGGTACTGCCAGTGGGGATCAGCCTGGGCACTGGGTACTGCCAGTGGGCATCAGCCTTGGCACTGGGTACTGCCAGTAAGGATCAGCCTGGGCTCTGGGTACTGGGTACTGCCAGTGGGGATCAACCTGGGCATCAACCTGGGTACTGCCAGTCAGTCTGAGTACTGGGTATCATCCTGGGCTCTCACACTGGGGATCAACCTGGGCTCTGGTTACTGGGTAATGCCAGTGGGGATCAGCCTGGTCACTGGGCATTAGCCTGGGTACTGCCAGTGGGCAACAGCTCTGGTTGATCCCCACTGGTTACTGGGTACTGCCAGTGGGGATCAACATGGGCATCAACCTGGGTACTGGGCATCAACCTGGACACTGGGTATCAGCACCACAGACCAAGCTCTCACACTGGGGATCAACCTGGGCATCAACCTGGGTACTGGGCATCAACCTGGACACTGGGTATCAGCACCACAGACTGAGCTCTCACACTGGGGATCAACCTAGGTACTGGGCATCAACCTGGGTACTTGGCATCAATCTGGGTACTGGGCATCAGCCTGGTCACTGGGCATCAGCCTGAGCTCTCACACTGGGGATCAGCCTGGGTACTGGGCATCAACCTGGGTACTTGGCATCAATCTGGGTACTGGGCATCAGCCTGGTCACTGGGCATCAGCCTGAGCTCTCACACTGGGGATCAGCCTGGGTACTGGGCATCAACCTGGACACTGGGTATCAGCACCACAGACTGAGCTCTCACACTGGGGTCAACCTGGGTACTGGGCATCAACCTGGACACTGGGTATCAGCACCACAGACAAAGCTCTCACACTGGGGATCAACCTGGGCATCAACCTGGGTACTGGGGATCAACCTAAGTACTGGGTTTCAACCTGGGTACTGACACTGGGTATCAACCTGGGCTCTGGTTACTGGGTATTGGGTATAAACCTGGGCATCAACCTGGGTACTGACACTGGGGATCAACCAGAGCATCAACCTGGGTACTGGGTATCAGCCTGTGTACTGGGGATCAACCTGGGCATCAACCTGGGTACTGGGTATCAGCCTGGGCTCTCACACTGGGGATCAACCTGGGCTCTGGTTACTGGGTACTGAATAATGCCAGTGGGGATTAGCCTGGTCACTGGGCATCAGCCTGGGCTCTGGTTACTGGGTACTGCCAGTGGGGATCAACCTGGGTACTGCCAGTCAGACTGGGTACTGGGTATCAACCTGGGCACTGGGTATCAGCCTGGGCACTGCCAGTGGGGATCAGCCTGGCCATCAACATGGGTCCTGGGTATCAACCTGGGTACTGCCAGTGGGGATCAGCCTGGGCTCTAGTTACTGGGTACTGGGTACTGCCAGTGGGGATTAACCTGGGCTCTGGTTACTGGGTACTGCCAGTGGGGATCAACCTGGGCTCAGGTTACTGGGTACTGCCAGTGGGGATCAACCTGGGCATCAACCTGGGTACTGCCAGTTAGTCTGGGTACTGGATATCAACCTGGGCACTGGGTATCAGCCTCGGCACTGCCAGTGGGTATCAGCCTGGGCATCAACATGAGTACTGGGTATCAACCTAGTTACTGCCAGTGGGGATCAGCCTAGGCTCTGGTTACTGGGTACTGGGTATTGCCAGTGGGGATCAGCCTGGGTACTGCCCAGTCTGGGTACTGGGTATCAGCCTGAGCACTGCCAGTGGGGATCAGCCTGGGAATCAACATGGTTACCGGGTATCAACCTGGGTACTGCCAGTGGGGATCAGCCTGGGCTCTGGTTACTGGGTATTGCCAGTGGGGATCAGCCTGGGTACTGCCCAGTCTGGGTACTGGGTATCAACCTGGGCACTGGGTATCAGCCTGGATACTTGAAATCAACCTGGGCTCTGCCAGTGGGGATCAACTTGGGCTCTGATTACTGGGTACTACCAGTGGGGATTAGCCTGGTCACTGGGCATCAGCCTGGGCACTGCTAGTGGGGATCAGCCTGGGCACTGCCAGTGAGGATCAGCCTGGGCACTGGTTACTGCCAGTGGGGATCAGCCTGGGCACTGGGCATCAGCCTGGGCACTGGGCTCTGCCAGTGGGGATCAGCCTGGGTACTGGGTGTGACAAATACCTCCTTCATGGGTTGCACCCTGTAAACTTTTTCTGTGTATTTTTAATTCTACTGCCTTGAATCATTCGGTATACGAGCAAACCGAACACTTAAAACCTACCCAGTTCATATACCGAACAAACTGTCGAACAGACCGACCACCCAGGACTGTTGTGTGCCGCTGGTTAACCCCCTTGACCTTCCTAACACCTATTCTAACTGCAATCCCTGAACATTCTAAGTGGTCAACTGGGTGGCCGCCATTCGTATGGACGAACACAAGGTGGTGGCCATCTTGTTTTGGCAAGCGCTTCAAGCGGGGTTTGGTCATCAAGTGCGTGAAACTATCATGGGAAACTCAACGGCCCAAACACCGCTGAGACTTCCACCCCCACTCATGTTCGTTCCCATTCATCTGAAGAAAGCGGCATTCGGTGAAACCAAACTCCCGAACGAGGGGTACACAACTAGCCTTCTCACGAACTGTTCCTTTCAGTATTTCATTGTGTTTGGAGTTCCCGAACTGAACAGAGACCGACCGCACAGCCTGAATCTCTGAAACTATTTTGGGCAGGAGCCTCGTGTGCGGCCGGTCAGAAACAAGACTTCCATAAAACTCTTAAACCCCTGAACCGATCTGGGTGATTTTTAAATATGTTGCTCCCCCAGATTGGGTCTATCAGGGGATTATGTGAGGTTTTTGGGGTACTTTCGGGTTACCTGTAAATTGTGTTCTCTTTCACCCAGAGATAATGGAGTTAGTACAGTTTCTGGCTCAATAATCTCTCAGGCAGAATGATCGTATCTGGGAGTGTCATGAATTTGAACTTCATTGTCACTGGTCTATGACTTTATATTGTAGTTCCCCACAAGGTCTATGTGGGAGTGCCCTTTGCACAGGGAATTGCATAAAAGGCCAGTGTGGCTACCAATAAATCAGTTCTTGCTTACCCTCTGTAACGAGAATATACCCCAACATGCAGGATTCAGCTAAACAGAAGACTACACAGAGGAGAGATACGTCTACCGGACCTTAGAATGGCCGTACTCGACGTATATGAGAGGAG